GTCAGGGCATTGGTGAGATCCTTGGGAATCATAGCAGCTTTAAAAGGGTATGCTAATACTCAGTGAGACACTTGGCAATTAATCTAGCTTTTTCCTGACTGAATTAGGTATGTGGATGACATCAGTGAGCTTGTTTAAAAGCTCACAGCAATTAAGATAGAGGTGATGAGGAGATCAGGGGAAGGAGGGTGATTGGGGCTCTCTCAACCTTCCACAGAAGGGGAGATAGGCAATTCTCCATTTGTATGTATTTGGGGCTAACCCTGAGGCTGTGATCTCTAGTCTCCTAAATTAATTTCACTAGGGAAGTCTCTATCAAGATCCTAGAGATTTGTGAACCTAAAGCTCCGGTTACTACTGTAAAAATGTTGGCCACTGAGAACTGTCCTGCTTCTATGGACCAGATTCAAGCTCCACATGTTCTCATGGGAGAACATTCTCTATTCCTGTGATTTTTTCCCTCTCCGATGGTTTGACCATGCTTCCGTTGGTTGACCATTGGGAAATGTGGCAGTATCTTTTGGGGTTACCATGTATCAGTACGGAGAGATTCTTCTTTTTCACCACTGTCTAAGTCTTGTGTGTATTTTTTAAAAATAAAGATTTTAAAATCTTGGAATTGAGTTAAGAAATGTCCTTAGTGCTACTTCTTGTGTCCTGAAGCATAACAGCTAATGTTGTTTTCAAAGAACAGCCTTAGAGAAGCATACTAAATAAATTAGCTTGCTTGCTGCAAGGTTTTCTTCCTCACATACATGCGGCACTTTGTTTCAGCCTTCAGCCACAAGCCAGGGCTGTGTAGTGCATGGATCCTTCTCACGGGAGATATGTAGTGGATATCCAGAGGAGAGAAGACTAGGGAGTGAGGAGGAAAGGCAAATTGCCTCCTTCAAATGTATGAAGGGTTACCATATGGAAGTAGGATGCCCAAAAGAATTCAGAGATAGGAGCAATGGATGGAAGCTGGAGAGAGACAGGATTTCTATACCATGTGACCAAAAACAATCCCCCAAAACTTCCCACCAGTTAGAACTATCCTAGTGGAAGGGGCTGCACTAAGACTTCTCCAACATGAAATCCTCAAAAACAGGTTGCCCACTTGTTGCACAGGTTGTAGATGTGATTCTTATTCAGTTAGAAACTCTGAAGTCTCTTTCAATGAAGAGATTCTGTGTTGCAGACATTCTGAGAGAGAGTCCTGTCCATGGCATGTCAATTTAGAGATGCCACCTGCACGAGGTAAGAGCCGTTGAGAGTGAGTTTTTCCGAGCAGCTCTCCTCTCTGAAGAAAGGTGTCTTTGCTTCTCTTACACCTGTTTTGCCCATGGGACAACTTTCTCCTAAACTGTTGCTTCTATGACCCTATGGAGCCCATAGGGTCCATTTAATTCTGTTCCTCTCCCCGTACCCTATCTTGTCCTTCAGTGGTGGTTCTTGTCACTTTTCAAATGGGAGAATTAGTCCTGGCTATGAATTAAACTAAGAAAAACATTTAAAATATGCATTAATTTCAGTGAATTAAAAAACACGACCTAAGTAGGACAATTCATTGCTCTTACCCACTATTTTTGTGGTTTGGTTTTCAGTTGTGTCTGACTCTTCATGACCCCATTTAGGGTTTTGTTGGCAAAGACACTGGAGTGGTTTGCTATTTCCTTCTCCAGCTCTTTTTACAGACAAGGGAACTGAGGCCAACAACAGGGTTGACTTGCCCATGGTCACACAGATATTGTGTCTAAGGTCAGATTTGAACTCAAGTCTTCCTGATTCTAGGCCCAGTACTCTATCCACCATACCATCTAGCTGCCCCCCCCCACTATCCCTCTTTTTATTTTTCATTGTCTTGGTGTGATGCTTAACCACACAGAGAAAGAAGCAGATGTTAAAAGAAAACTCAACCCCATAGACTGCTGTTAGGAAAACCAACCTGGGCCCTAATTCAGTAAGCAGGTTTCTACCCTGAAAAGATGAAAGGAACCTGATCAGTCTAATTAGGCTTAAATTAATGAGCTGGAAACTTTTGGGAAACAACTCTGGGCAATTAGGGGGGAGAAATTCTCTTTCTCTTAATTAGCTTTGTAAGATCTGGTGGCTGGGAATATAAGGAAAAGCTGGGTCTGTGAGTGGACAAGGTCCCAAAGGGCCACAGGAGAGAGGAAGTGCTTAGTTGAAGCAAGATTGATTAGGGATTGATTATAATTATGCCACCCCAGGATTGTCCCTTTTATCAGTAAATTGGTGTGGAGATGAGACACCAAACTGTCTTAGAAAGTTTAGCATAGATGGAACCTGCAGGGCCGACCCCATCCCACCCTCCTCTCCTATATCCAACCACTTGCTGTTCAGCTGTGTCCAACTCTTTGTGACCCCATTTGGAGTCTTTTTGACAAAGATACTGGAGTGGTTTGCTACTTCCTCTCCAGCTCATTTTACTGATGAGGAACTGAGGCAAGCATGGTTAAGTGACTTGCTCAGGGTCACATAGCTAGTAAGTATCTGAGGCTAGATTTGAACTCAGGAAGATGAGCCTTTGTGACTCTAGGCCTGGCACTCTGTCCACTGGGCCACCTGGATGCCCCTATTTTCCCCAAACTACATCCTGAGAGATAAAGGAAAAGAATTAGATGACCAGACATAGTTTTGAAATAGGGGTGTCCCTGTTCATTGGGAGAATTCTGTGCAGTCCTGGCTACAGCTCTGCTCATGGGATCTGGGGAAGTGACGAGGCTTAGGGTCATGGGGCAGACCCATGTGAATCAGCCCAAGTACTCCCCATTAAGAGTTCTATAAATGAATCCAGTAACATGCTGGCTTTGGATAGAGGAAACCTGAGGTTTTTGGGGGGTGAGAGTGGGAGTAGATGGAAAGTAAGAATGTTCATGGTATTTCAAACAGACCTGGCCATTCACATTTTTCAGTAGGTCTGGTCATAGAACCATAGATTTAGAGGTAGAACACCCTCATTTTACAAAGGAAGAAACCGAGGCACAGAAAGGCCAAATAGTTTACTTGTCCAAGATCACAGAGATAGTAAATGGCAGACAGAACATTCAAACCAAAGCCAATGGTTTCCCAATCCAGTGGTCTTTCCACTGCGCCACCCTGGTCTCCCTTGGCTGTGTGGCAGGATCACCAGGGCCATACAGTTCTTCTCCTCCCTTACCCTCAAGCCTTCAGCCTGGGTCCCATAGTAAATAACTTATCTTGTAAGCGGCAGAAGTTCCTAGGGGGAGTCTATGGAAGCCAATCCTTACTGGAGAGGCGTCCCTCTTCCCCTTCTCTAATCATCTAATAAGGGGAAAGAAAGGCAGAGGAAACCACTTGATGTTACCTCTGCTTTTCCTCAGTCGGTCCCTTCAACCTCCACACTAGGTTCAGTTTCTCGGAGGCCAGTCCTACCATGGCTCGTGGTGTCAAAATGCAGCTTAATGTGTCTGTCCAGGGAATGCTTGCTCTGGGGTGGTGGTGGGGGGGCAGGCATCTCTAGTTCTGTTGCCTGAACTGTATGACTGTATGGGGGGTTCTTCCTGAGGTTTTCTTTACCTCCTGAGCTTGAGGATACTATAAAACTTCACCCATACCTCACGGTTTGTTTCTTCTCCCTCTCCCTGCCTCGTGCCAGGGTACTTGGCTCAGGTGGTCCCGGGGCCACAGTGTGGTGGGGGCGCAGCACCTTGGAGAGAGGTCTGTAGTAGCCCCGGGCCCCATCGTGAGACTGGTGTCGCGTCTGTCGGGCTTGATCAAGGGGCCCCCGAGTGAGGCTGGAAACAGGCCGGGTGCCCCGTCCTCGGCCCGGGGCCGTGGAACCAGCGCCTTTCTCCTCCTCCCCTCTGCTTGCTTCCCCTCCTCCCCTCAGTCGGGCACAGCCCGCGCCCGCTCCAGTAGCTGCTGCTGCCGCTGCTGCCGCTGCTGCTGGAGGCGGCGGTGGAGGGGAGGCGGAGGAGGAAAAAGAGGAGGAGGAGAAGGAGAGCGGGCCGACGAGGTGCCAGGCTTGAGCCCAGGAGGCACTGGCTGCGGCTGCGGCGGAGTTGGACGAGGAAGCCCAAGGAGAGAAAGAGGAGTCGCGGCGGCGGCGACCCCGGGGGACCCCCGGGAGGATGGCCTAGGAGGCAGCCGTGGCGGCAACGTCGCAGAAGGGCGAGGAGCGGAGCATGGACTGAGCCCGCCGCGGAGGCTGCTGCCTGCCGGGCGAGAGACCAGAAGAGAGGCGAGAGGCGAGAGGCGAGAGGCGAGGGGCGAGAAGAGCCCCAGAGAGGGGGAGGAGGAGGAGGCGGCGGCGGCGGCGGCAGCGGCGGCGGGGGAGGCGGGGGCTGGGCCCCGGGGGAGGGCGGCCAGGGAGGGGGAGGGAGGGGAAAGAGGAGGAGGGGGGGGCTGATTATATATTATTAACAAGTTCAAGACTAATAATAATAACAACAGCTCATTAGCTGCGAGAGGCAGGGAGGCAGGAGGCGAGGGGGCGAGGCAGCCGGGCAGCCGGAGCGCAGGGGCAGCCGGGGCCCGGAGGGCGGGCGCGCAGCAGCGCAGAGGCCGGCCCGGGGCTGTGAGACCCTCTGGCTCAGCCTCCGAGTAGGAACGCGGGCGGCGGCGGGGCTGCGGCCGCCCTCTCTGGACCAGGGGCGCACGAGGGCCCCCACCCAACGGTGCGCACGAGCTAGCCAGGGGCCGGGGGCCTGACCCGGCGCGCTCCATCCCCCCTCGGGCAGCCGGACAGGAGGGGGAGGCCCCCTCGGCTCCCGAGCCGCAGCTCTAGCCGCTCGCAGGCGGCACCCGGCCGGCCAGCCGCTGCCCGCTTGCTGCCTCCCGCCTGCCGCCTGCTGATTGTCCCCCCCCCCCCCCCCCACCCCCCCCCCCCCCCCCCCCCCCCCCCCCCCCCCCGCGCCCGGCCGCAGCAACAGCAGCAGCAGCAATAGCAATATGGCTGTTGATGGGTGTTTGGGGTGGCGCTGGCGGCGGGAGGAGCTCCCCGGAGCCCCTGCGCCTCCTGCCCATTGCTAGTTATGGCAAATGGTGGCGGCGGCGGCGGCGGCGGCGGCGGCGGCGGAGGCGGCAGCAGTCTTAGAATGAGTAGCAATATCCACGCTAACCATCTCAGCCTAGACGCGTCCTCCTCCTCTTCTTCTTCCTCTTCCTCCTCCTCCTCGTCCTCTTCCTCGGTCCACGAGCCCAAGATGGATGCGCTTATCATCCCGGTGACCATGGAGGTGCCGTGCGACAGCCGCGGCCAGCGCATGTGGTGGGCTTTCCTGGCCTCCTCCATGGTGACTTTTTTCGGGGGCCTTTTCATCATCTTGCTCTGGCGGACGCTCAAGTACCTGTGGACCGTCTGCTGCCACTGCGGGGGCAAGAGCAAGGTAACGCGCCCCCCGGTCCCCTAACCCACCGGCTCCGGCGCGAGCCCCTCGTCCGAATCGCCCTGCCCCTGCCCGCTCTCCCCTGCCCAGGTCTTCTCCCCTTCCCTCCTTCTTCCTCTGCTTTTCCCTCTCCAGCACCTGCTTCCTTTTAGCTCTCGCTTCCCTCCTCTTCTCTTTTCTTCTGCCTCCTCTCGTCCTTTGCTCTTCTCTTTCACCCCTTTGCTTTATGCCCTCTTCTTTAGCTTTTCCTCAGTTCTTTTCCATTCCCCTTTTGCTTTTTCGCCTCGTTTTCTTCCTCCCGTCTTCTCTCCCATCCCTCTTTCTCTCCCTTTCCATCTTCTATTCCTTCCTCCCCTCCTCTATATATCCCTTCTGCCCCCTCTTAGTTGGGGGTTCCTGGGCTTTTGCGGGGTGGAATTTAAAGCGTGGCTATGTTACTGCTTGCCTTCGGTGTGCGCTCTCCAGGACTCAGAAATCCCCTCCACCCGCCAGTGCGGCGGGTTTGGGCTGCCTGTGGGAAGAGGGCTGCTCTCGGTGCACTTGCTTATTGGAGGGTCACTCGCGGCAGCCGCGGGTAGTACCCTTTCTCCTGGGGCTTTTCCCCTGGCAGGCTCGGGGGAGAGCGCTCCTCAATTCGCCACGGTTGGGTAGAGAAAGTCGCCTGCCCGCGAAAGGAAGGGAAGAAGCATGTTTGACGGGCTGTGCTTGTTAAGGGACGGTCTTCGGTAACAGAGGAGGAAAGCCATAAGAGTAGGCTTTGGGAATTGCTTGGAAAAATGAGATCTGAACGGTCTGGCAGAAAGCGAAAATCCACTATCGGGGCGGGAGAGGTCGAGGCTTGAAGGAAGAACATGACCCCAGACAGCTGGGTCCGAGAGCCTGAAGCTGGGGGAGGGGGGTAAGATACCACAGCATTTACTGGGACTGTTTGCTGGTGTCTCTGTTGTCGCAAGGAAAAGGGGAAGACAAGGGGGAGAACCTCCCCAGTTACTGGGGCACACGGTGTCTTACGGGGTTGCGGCGGGGCGGGGGAGGTGAGGGAAGGCAGTGAAATGTCAGATCCTCAGTCTAATTAGTCACCTGTTTCCACTCTCTGCCCCCATCCCGAGGATTCTCCATTAATGGTCTTCAACTAGCTAATTCTTCTGCCTCCCTTTACTCCAGGAGAGGGTCCCTAACCCTTTGCTGCCCCATCTTTCGTTGCCTGGGGTCAAGAACTTGGGAGCCTGGGAAGGTCAGAGTTGGCTGTGAGAGTCCGCCAAGGCGGGCAGCAGCAGTCAGCATGAAGAGCTTTCCCCTTGGCGTTTTTTAGGATGACACCTGCAATAATGTAGGGTTGTTATTCCTAGCACAGGAACACCCGCCGATACGAAGACACACACACACACACACACACACACACACACATACACACACCTTGCGATGTATGGTTGCTAGGCTGCCTACTTGCCTGGCCTGTCTCCATTCTGCGTTCCTTGGCCTCTTCCCCCCCCCCCCCCCCCCCCCCCCCCCCCCCCCCCCGCGGGGGGAGGGTGCCGGGCCCCCCCCCTGCCCGCCCGGGCCCCCATCCGCATCCCTTGCCCCCCCCCCCCCCCCCCCCCCCGGAATGACACCCACTGGTGCTGGAGGAATGGTGACAGTTTTTGAAAGGAAACTGCTAGAGAAAAAGAAAATTGAACAAAAAAGGGTGACTGGGTGGGATGAGGGAGATCCAGACCGTTGTTTGGGTATTCCCCTTATTGGGAGGAAGGAAAAGCCTAAGTCTTAAATCAGAAATCCGAGGATATTGGGGCGGGGGTGTAAGGAGTCCTTAAAAGCATCACAAAGACAGGTCTATGACCCCAATCTCCACAGTTTCTTCAACAAAGTTAATCCAAGAAGCTGCTAAACTTCATAGAGAGCAACAACTTGTGGCAGTTGGAGCTGTTTCTGAATAGGGAATCTTGGGGTTTTCTACAGTGAGCTCGCAGAAAAGGTGTTGAAACACTCTCTCTCTCTCTCTGTCTCTATCTCTGTCTGTCTCTCTCCCCTCCCTCCCTTTTCTCCTTTCTCTCTCTCCCTCTCCCCCTATCTCTGTTTCTGTTTCTCTGTCTCTCTATCTCTCTCTCACATTAATTATACATTGTGTAGGGTGGAGATGCTCAGCTGTGTTTAGTGGCAGTGTGTTTTTGTTTTGGAAAATACTGGTGTACTGGAAATAAGAGGCAAAAAAATCAAGGCCATCATTTCTGTCCGACTCTCCTCTCTCAACTTCCCTTTGGCTGAAGATGTCAGCTGATAAAATCATTATAGAGTTAGCCTGTCATTTTTACAGGTTTCTTCTTTGCAGAAAGGTTAAAACTGAAGAGAAATTCTGGCCCTTGGGTGGTTTAAGGGTCACTTTAGGAATGGAAAGTCCTTGAATATGGGCCTAAAGTCAACACTTATATTTCCAACCTTTGAATTTGAAAAACTGTTACTGCAGCCCCTTCCCCCAAAGGTGCTTATTCATAGAGCCCACTTATTCTTACACCCTTCTCCACCTCCCTAAAGAATCATTAGCTCTGTCAGTCTCTCATCCTTCCAGGAGATTCAGAGATTGCCCTTTAAGGGTGAGGAAAAAAAGTCTCAGAAAATGATGATGATGATGATGATGATGATAACAACTGACATTTAAAGATTTCCCAAAGTACTTTATTTTCATTATCTAATTTGATCCCTATAACAACCCTGTGGGGCAGATGTTGTTATTATACACAATTTTACCAATTAAGAAACTGAGGCTGAGAGACCCTAAGTGACTTGCCCAAGGTCACACAGCTAGTAAGTAAAACCCAGGTATTCTTGACTACAGGTCCAACACTCTATCCCCTATGCTTACTGCATATGTGCTCCTGGGTAGAATGAGTGATTTGGTAAATGACATCTCTTAATACAACCTAAGGCACTTTGGTTATTATCAATCATCTTTTAAATTAATGAAATAGGTTTTGGATTTTTTTGTTACTACTGTTGCTGGTTTTAAAGACATGGTTTCTACATTATTTACACCCTATGGATTGAAAGACACTAATGTAATCTTTGCAAATTAGGTAATGGATAGAAATTTCAGGGAAGACGTGCTTCCCAGAGTGGGATCAGACAGGCAGTCTGTATCAGGTGTTCTACGAATGCATCAGGTGTTTCTTTGCGGGATAGTGAGAATTACCATGTACAAGAGCCCTTAATAGTTGGCTACATTTAATAGCTTACTTAACATAATTTCTTTTCTATTTTGGGAGTTTCTACACAGAATGGTATTGGCTGGGTAGACAAGGGGCCAACTTCAGATAATGGTCATGGGTTACCCTTGCTTCTGTTGGACACTCTTACAAAGTCCTGCCTAGAGCCTCTTTAATACCTCCCTGTGATTTGCTAAATTGAACTTTTGAATCCAGCTCATTTCAGGCCCCCAGGCAGTCTGTGGCAACAAAGTAAGTTTTAAAAGTGTTCCTTGTCTTTTATAGGACTTTTGCTTTCTTTTACTGTGCATACAATATTCTGTGTTCTTCGATTTTTTCACTGTCCAAATATTGGGTAGTTACAACTCATTCTTCTTAGGAAATGCACTTGGTTAAAAGTGAGCTCAAAATAGTAGCTTTAGGTTTGAAAATAAACCTCAGCATTCTCCTTCCCCCTAAGACTTTCTGAGTCCTTTATACCAGGGCTTTTCTTAAACTTTTTCCACTTATGATCTCTTCAGTTCTTCTTAAATTACTGGTCTCATCCCCATATGGGGTGGGTCCCTTTCTTATTTAGCATTAAGCTTTTCAGAAGGGATCTGATTCTGATGCTGCTATTGCTTGCCCTCCATGCATTCTACAGCCAAGCCAAACTGGACGACTCTTTGCTGCCTTGCTCTTTTCTGCTGTTGTCTTTTTTTTTTTTTTTTTGCTACTCCTTACATATAGGATGTTTTCTTTCCTTCCCTTTTTTTCCTGCTGAATTCCTTAAAGCCTAATACAAATGCCACCTCATTCTTCTGGTGCTAATGATCTTCCCCCGGGGAATCCACTTTGCATTTTGGTTTGCAGCTCTCTGATGCCTTGACCCTCTAATGTTGCATATGACAGCTATCGGTGTTTATATCTCACTCTGCTGCTACTATACTGGGAGTTGGGGGAAGAAAATGGGGTCTGTGTTTTATTTAAACTGTGCACCTCTACCAGCCTCTGGTACAATAGATATTTAATAAATGGTTGTTGACCGAGTAGATAAATGAATTGTTCTTTTTGCAAATTCAAAGAGCTCTTTCTAAAAGTGGCTCTTCAAGGGATAAGGTCCAAATTCTGGCAATGTGTAATCAAATTATTTTTTCTGACTGTCTTAGATGGGCAATTTGAATTGTTGATTCATTTCTATATACAGTACTGTTGTTTCTCACCAAATGGCACCTCAAATAATGCTATTTAATAATTGAATCCTAAATAACAGATGCAGAAAATCAGCTTTAACTTTCTGAAGATTAAGAAAAAAAGGTTTCATCTGGTTTTTAAGGAAGTAAAATACCCTGCTAAGAAACATATTTTCTTTCTACGGATTTGGAGTGAATCTTTCAGATTGAAGCTATACTGTGTACCCTATTATTTGGCCACGTGTTATTATTTTTTTTGGAGGGAGTTATAATTTGTAGCCAGAGTAAAAGGAGTTGGCAAAACTCTGGGGAAAGTTAGTATATATATATATATATGTATATATATATATACACACACACACACACACACTAAAGATATATATAGATATATATATCTTATATATATTCCCAGAGGTAAGTTGACAAAGAAAAGATATATATATATATATATATATATATAATTCAAATATATGGGAATTCAAAGCATATATGGAAATATCAGTTATGGGCTACTTTTATCTCTTATGTGGCTGTTTCTATGATTCCCTTCCCTGGCAGTAATCATTTTTACTTGAGGTATGGTTGGGTAAACTGATGCTCAATTTCCACTTGTTGATTCTGTGAATAG